CGGACCTACGGGTTGCAATCCCGCCTGCCGCCTTCCCCTCGTAACCAGCAGACTAGACTTAGACTTAGAAAGATAGAAAGAAAAAACTGTGAGACTCTCAGAAGGGTGCCCTCAGACTCACGAGAGAGGGCCTTGTAATCTTCATGCGCCTGAGGGCCCCACAATGACAGCCATATAGCAACCGCTTGGTCAACCTGAAGTCAACCCACCGTCCTCACTCTCTTGACGAACCCCCACTTCGCAACATTATTTCCCTTCTCAAAGCCCGAATGACTGCTATCCAGCCTAGACGGCCGCACTCGCATGGCCTACACTTGCCCTTTCACCTCAACGAAGTAGCGGCACACAACGAACTGTGCCGCAGCGCTCAGTGGAAGTACAGCAACGCAGTCGTAGCCCAGGGACTGCCACCGCAACACAGCAACCTAGGTAGACCGCAGTGTTCACAGTAATGGACAAACAGAAAATACTGCAGCCTTACCGCTTGTTCCTCACTCCTTAGCCTTGGTTGTCCATCTCGTTGCCGTTTCCGACTCGCTGCCTCGTTTGCAATTCTGGCCAGCCGTGTCCGAACAGAACCCAATGTCAACTCTCCGTAGCATACACAGTGTGAGGCCCGTCAGAGCACCGCAACCATGTGCCACAGCGGGACACGAAAAAGCGGAGCAAGTGTATGGCTGTATACCAGCAGCAGACCCTGGGTAACACCTAGCGAAGTACAGTAACCAGCGGGAGCTCACACGCAAGCAGACGAAACCCAGGCAGCAGGACCGTGACAGAGGCACAGGCAGGGCAGTCCGCACACCCAACACCGAGCAAAGGCAATACACCTCCTACTTACACCATGAGTAACCCCGGCCGTTCATCAGTTCCTGCCACCCCTTCTCCCTTTCTTGTTGTTGTTCTGTCTCGCCCACCATTCCATCCTTTATCTGCGAACGCCCCCGGTTGCTTCTCGGGCCAGGGCGACTCGCCTCCTTAGTACGCGGGGACCTCTATTAGGTGGGGTTTTCCGGGGCCGGGACCAGGACCGGGGAAGCCGCGATCAGCAAGATGAAGACCGCCGTTCGAAAGAGCAGTAGATGGCCTTGAATATAACTTCGAACTGCCTATACGCTACAGAATAGGAATGTATCTCCTGCCAACCCGTGGGCAGATGCATCCCCGTTTCCGGTTTCCATCCGTGCGCAGCTCCGAACTCTCGAACCTTGCATCCGCTGCTCCTTACAGACGTACTGTCCGACACCTTCCCTTCTGCATAAGCAGCGCAGCCGAGCGAAATCAGGATGGATCTTCCCCGGAATTCGACTACATACCTGCCTAATGAGTACCCACTCCTCAGCTCAAATCCATACTACGCGTACGGGCGGTGCGGCGGGTTTAACAGGTAAGTCTCCTCCTCGCTGCCTACATGCGACCTTCCTATAGCAGCTGCAGTTCAAAATCGAATGAATCTTCCGCAAAAGTGCGGATGGATTCATTCCCAACTTCGAATTGCCTTCCCTTACGTAGCCTATATCCCCCACAACGCTATAACTACCGCCTTGTTCCCAATTTCGGTCGTGCCATCGTCATAGAACCCCCGAGTAGGATCTCACCCAGCCCGTTTTCCATCAAGGATCGGGCGGTTTTTCTCGCTTTCTTTCTCCCACCTACACTCCCTTCCGCCATCTCCACGCAACCATAACTACCACTAACTCTCATCCTATTGATCTAACCCCCAAACTAACTCCATGATTCTACTCGTAGTGGTCGAAAACCCCAAGATCGAGCTTTGGTTCGCCCGTTTTTATCGAAAATCGGGCGAACTACTCATCTCCTATTCTCGACATCTCTTCCCCTACCATAGCCTCCGCGCAGGCTTTTTCTTACTAACTTCTAATTTACTCAACTACTCCCAAAACTAACGGCGCCATCAGAATCGCCCTGCCCAAAAACCTCAACTCTGACTCTTCACTCACATAGATCCATCAAGGATCGAGTGCAATCTCGGTCCTCCCCCTCACCATCTCTCTGTCCGCCATCACTCCGCGGAACAGTTTTTTATACTAACTCCTCCCCTGCTGACTTTCTCTTAAAACTAACGCCGTAGTTAGATTCGCCGACCCCTAAAACCCCTATCTAGACTCTTACTTCGCCCGATTCTACCAAGAATCGAGCGCGATGTGCATCCTTTCGTCCGCCATAGCCTCGCTCCCTTCATTCCCAACTCCGAATGCACCTAGCGCGCCCCTCCGTCCACATTCATTCCCCTTTTTGCTGCGCCCGCTGATTCATCTCTCCGCCCCTTCTTCCGTGGTTGTACCCGGTGCGAAAGCTGGTCTAGGTCCGGTCACTCCTCAGCACCCCATCGTTCCACTGCGCTGCGCTGCCCATCTCCTTTGCGCGTATGTACCCGGCGCGGATCCAACCCGGGTTCATTCGCCCCCTCTTGCTGCTGCCCGTCGCCTCTCACCCTCGTGGCTGCCCCCTCTCCCCGACGGCTCTCCTTAGTCCGTCACCCCCTGGAGCAGCCGCCCGTCCGCTGTGCTATCACTCCGTCTCTCAGCCGGGTTGACGTCACCCCGGCGCCTTAAACGCGGTACGGTCCGACAGTCAGTCGAATGCCAAAGTGCAAAATGCGCCTGGCTGTTGGGCTTCCTCCGCTATATCCGTACCGTCCTTGCGCAGGGGCCATGCTAATCTTCTGTGTATCGTTCCAATTTTAACGGATGCCCCGAAGGACTTGGTCGGGTCTATGCCCCCACAGCAGCACCAGAGGGCACTCCGCCTGCTGTCCGCCTGCGCCCGACACGATTCACGTCCGGGTTCACCCCGGATCTTGTTTTTGTCCTACGTCACCCTTACGTAGGGGCCCTACTAATCTCCTCTGCAGTATTCCGGCCCCGACGGATGCCCCGAAGGACTTAGCCCGGGCCATGCCCCTCGACACTTCGAGGGATGAGCAGGCCCAGGCAGACCAGAACTTTTGGCTTTAGTCATCGGGCTCCATCATTTGGGCTTGGAGACAGGTCTGTACTTTAGCAGTTTAATAGTGTACCCATTGAGATGGGCCTTTGAGTGCCGGCCGCGCCCACGGCGCCTCGTCCTAAGACAAGACGAGGCGCCGCTTTGACGCAGCCATAAAAACAATTTGTAATTGCACTTCATGCAACCCCCCCCCGCGAATGCAACACTCCCTATGTGACTTTATCGCAGCCTTGTGTCCAATATACAAATAACTTAATAGTGGTGAGGATCAGCGGGGCTGCTGATACCTTACCAGTCCCGAGGGGCAGGCCCGCCGCCGCTCTCGCCAGCAAAAATCCGAGGGGGAAAGCCCCGTCGGGCCCTCAACCCCTCGGTCTCCTCCGCGCCGCTTTGCTGCTTTCGGGCCGACGCCCGCCGACCTCGATCCCCAAACCTCCGTAGTAATAGTCTGATGCCGTAACCTTAAGGGATAAGCTTAAGCCTGGGGCTGAGTCCCGCAGAATACCATATAGGCAGTGCGGCGCGACGCTTTTGGGCCAACCAAACGGCTGCGCGGCTCCCATTAGCCCGCACCGGTTTGCTTATACCATGCCATAACTACCCCGCGCGCCATCCTACGACACCCCGCTTACCGCACAAAATCGCGCCGTTATTGCCGATGCCGTCGTCGGGGTCGTTTCTCAGCACACGCGCTTGACCTACTAATCAAAAAGAAAATATCCTTAATCCCTGCTTAATAAAAAATAATAATATCACCAAACGAAACGACCGAGGTCCGGGCCAACTTTACGATTAAATAACAGAAAAAGAATCACGCGCGCCTTAACCTGCGCGCCCACGCACTCGCTATTGCGGTCAACCACCCAGTGAAAGCAATTACTGACGCAACCGTGCTTAGCGGGGTATACTTAAATTCTAAACCAAAACTATTTTCTGTCACTTGCAAAAACCAGGGCGGATACCCTTGTAAGGGTATTCGCACCGACACCGCGGCGGAAGGGAAATAGGTAGAAGAGGTTTTATTTCTTAGGCCCGCGGGGTTTGATTTCGTACCAAGGGCCAAAAAAACCGGCGTCGTGGCCTACCCGGTTGGGTGACCGTCGGGTATAGGACCGCGGCACATGGGGAATAGGTAGAAGGGGTTTTATTTCCTGGGCCCGCGGGGTTCGATTTCATACCAAGGGCCAAGAAAACTGGCGTTGTGGCCTACCCGGTTGGGTGACCGACGAGCCGTGGCTGTCCTGCTATTCGACGGGAAACAGGCCAGGAAGGAAGGCCTGTCAGGCCTTGGGCAGGGCCTGCAATGCCACAAGCAGGCAGGGCTGGTAAGGCTACAGCAGAGGGGAATGGGAAAGACGCGAAGCTCTCCTTATAGAAGAGCTGCTCCTATCATTGTTGTGATAGGAGCTAGCCAAGTAGGTTACCATACATGACTTATACCCTATGGATATCGGGATTGAACTTGGTATGCTGGCCCTACTCGGCAAAGTTCCTTTTGGAACTGATGTCCGATGACGAGGCCGATCTCGGTCGTGCGATCTTAGGATCGCGCGACTTAAATCAGTTGCGCGGAGCATGGCCCTTGCGCTTTCAAGGAAGACATGCATAAATCGAGAAATGTTCGGAGGAAAAAAAAAAAAAAAAAAAAAAAAAAAAAAAAAAAAAAAAAAAAAAAAAAAAAAAAAAAAAAAAAATCGTCTGAATTCGAATTTGGGTTTGTAGTTCCATAGATTGTGGGTGTGCTTTGATCAGACGTGACCGTTGGAACATAACGCATACGTGTTGGATTCGAGTTTTCCAAAAGAGAACTAGGGAAAAAAAAAAAAAAAAAAAATTAACATCAGAAGCGCCAGATGGCGCACTGTGAAGTGACAACCTGACAGGGAGTTAGACCTCCCAAAAGGCAATAGAAGAAATAGACCCAGCTTTCTCATTGGATGTTATCATAGGACTCCTAGGCGGCCGCCGTGCTAAGAGCTGACTCGGTCAGATGGTGGCAGCGAGGCAGGGGTCTAGTTTTGGTCACTTACTCAGGGCAGGATGCCAGATCGGTCGGTTTTGTAGTCAATGCGTCCGTATCAGGATGCTTTTGAGGCCCAGGTGCACCAGCAAGAACTTCAGAAGAGTTCGGCAGCCACGAAAGGACCTCTTTCTCAAGGACGGGCTCTTCAAGAATTTCAAGGCCTCCTAAGGCCTCTTCATCTGTAGGGGTCCAACAGGACCGAACCCCGAATAGGGGTGGCCAGTATTTGGCCAAATCAAGCAGGGAAGGGTAATCTGGAAATTGCGCGCCACCGGTGAGCCATTCCAGAGATTCACGGGTTTTTGCTATTTCTAGAGAAATCGCTCCGTAGGAATCTGTGCTTCTTTTGTCCTTTGCTCTTCCCTCGATCGCGACTGCGGCGCCGCTCCTTTCGACGTACCTGCAACGCATCACAGGACAGACGACGTTAGACTTCGTACGGTAACTTCGTTCGTTTTACCGAAAAAGGCAAGTTACTTAATGACTCTTAATAACCATAGCCTGTTTTAACGAAGGTAATGAAGCTTTCCCCGTCCTTACTATTTCAAATGCTCACCTGGAAGAACGTAGTCGCAAGATGAAGCTAGGTGCAACTCTGCTTTCTAAACGATCAATCTGCTACGAGGAAATAATGTCTGCAGCGACCTTCAACCTTCTTCTTACTCATAGGGCCGAATCACCTTTGCATAAATAGACAAGCAACGGACTGGGCAGCTGAATGTAGACAGTATCTTGCGTATAGCCGGCTTAAAGAGTGCACGATGTAGCTGTGATCCGCCTTTTCAACGAAAGTAGGAAGGTCGTCAGAGGACTAACGCACCGCTTCGTAAAGCTTGATCTTCTCTCATTGACGAAAGTAATCACCAATGTTCCTCCCTGCTAAGCTTGCTCAACTCGACTATCAAGGTATTAGCCTCATCTTTCCTTAAGTATAGAAAGGAAGGAGGGTAGCTGAAAGGCTGTTTTTGCAAGCTACTACCGCGCTAAAACAGGAACTCTCTCTACCAAGCTTCTTACCGCCAAGCCTTAGCTCCTGTTAGGGGAATAACTGTTTTTTCCCACCTTTTTCATTGAACTCTTTGCAGAACCACTCTGCTTATGGGCATACTTCTATTCGGTAATAAACTTAACCGAGGAAAGAACGCCAGAAGAGTTACTCTTCCAACAACAGAGACTGCTTAATCGAAGAATGGAAGGCATCCTGTTATCGACATCCAAAGCTCGCCTTCACAAGTGTAAGAGACTGAAGAAGAATTTCAATATGAACGATCAAAGGAATAACCAGGTAATGATCAATCTTTTAGTCACTTACTAAGGATTAGTAGCACCTTTGTAGACGTTTTTTCACCTGGATCTGAGTTTTACGCTTAACCATCACTATTGGTAAGCGATACTGCACGAGAGTTTCGGCTCAGGCTCACCACCACGGATGGCTTTCAAGTCAAGCAAAAGATCGGCTAAAGTTCGAAGATGCTACAGATTAAACGGTTAAATCCGTCATAAAACCGCGTTGTGTTTTTTACCTTGATTCTTAAGGCACAGGTCCCTGTCTCTGTGCTCTCGCCTCCTCTGACTCCAGGATAACCCTCCCCATCAGTTCATCGCGGAGTCGCGGGGCTGACGCTAGGATTTCCTTTAGGGTCATGAGGTCATTATGCCCTTCCAGCAGCCGGTCAATCACCTTCTCTACATCAAATCCCTCTTCCAACCGGACCGCGTATTTCTTCTTTTTGGGCAGTCCGTTATGTATGACCGGTTCGGCCTCTCCCCTGGTTCCCTTTTTCCTTGCCCGCTGCTCCGCTCTCTGATCCTCTTCTCTGCGCAGCCTCTCGTCCTCTTCCTCTTCATCATCGTCGTCCTCTACTTCCACAGCCTCTTTCCTTC